GGGGGGTGGCCAGCCAGCCCTGGCTAATCGCTGGGGCCGCTTTTCCAAGGTGCGCGTTCAGATTTGAAGGTTCCTCCCCCCCCTTCTCTTTTCCTTCTTCTTTGAGAGAGAGAGAGAGAGATACCTGAGCCAGCAGGTCAACTCAGGTTACCTCAACAGGTATAAGGCGCCTGAGGGGGGTTGGATGCCAGCAAGTGAGAGCAAGTCCCCTAACCCAAAAGATGGATTCCCAAGGGGGTCCTTAAGTCAGAGGACTTCGGGGAGAAACAAACACACCATTTTCTCCAGATATTTCAGGCATCCAACGCTTCATGTCCCCTGTCCCTTCTCAAGGATGGGAAGCTGCCCCATCTTCCCTAGATCTTTAACGCTCTCTTGCCCGTCTGCTATGGGTACAAAAGGGGGCCAGAAGGTGGGGGTGCTCTCCACATCCCCAGTCAGGGCTGCACTGCCACTTCAGATGCTAGCCCCTGCCTGGGGCAAGAAGTGTATCCAGTAGCCACAAGCTTGGCAGGTGGCTCTCAGAGCAAAGTTGCTTGTGGGCACTAGAAAGGAGGGGAGCAGCTTGCGGGTCCCTGGGCTTTGGCTGATCTGGTTCAGGGTGTCTCTTCCTTGTATCTGGGCTGAAGGGGACTGGATCAGGCCTCTTACTTGTGCCCACATACCCTTCCCCCATAGGAAATGCCAGCTTGGCCTGGAGGGGCTCCCTGGCCTCCTTGCACCCCCTCTTCCCCAGGCAGGCTGCCCAGGTCAGGATGTGGATGGGAACTGTCAATAGAAACTCTAAATATTTACCCACACTCTCTGGGGATTGCCCCCAGCCCCCAGACTGGACAAATTCAAGTTAATGCTAATGGAAGAAAGAACCTTAGTCCATCAGCACCCTTCCCTGGCCATATGTGTGTACAGTTATGTGGGCTGAACACAGGCAGAGAGAAAAAGGGAGACAGCAAGAGAGCCACGTATGTGTGTGCTGTGTGGATACGAATGAAGAAGAGGAATAAGAATGACTTTTCCGGTCCCCCTCCTCAGTGTGTGAGGTGGTTACACACACAGCAACATGAGCACACTCCAGATACACACACACTGTATGTGCTATCTTCTCACCCGAAGACTCTTCAAATGCATGCTCACAGTAAGCCGGCATGCGTGCCTGGAAACACTCTCCACCTCACAGACACTGTACACACATACATGCACACACAGGTTCATTCACACACAAGCACATAATGCCCAACAAACAGGTCTTTGCACCATGAAAAAATTTGCTATTTGTTTTCAGTCCGCATCCTGGGGTTTTAGGGTTGGGTGTGGAAGGAGGTGGTTAGAAAACCAGATCTTTTTTTCCCCATCTGGAGCCCAGCTCTGGAGGTGGGAGAATGAATGGGTGGCAGTGCAGAGTGGGATGGTATAGAAAGGACGAAGCCCCTAGAGTCCCTTTATTATCTAAATAATTCCTGGAGAAATGGCCACCCTAACCCAAATTCCCAAAGGAGATGCTCTAGTATCCCAGCAAGACACCCTTCCAGTATCCCTTTCATTTGGGGGAAATCATCTCCGTCCGAGTTAGGGACTGCCCAAACTCTGCAACACCCAGAACTCTGGCATTGGAGCCCAAGGAGAGGAGGGTCAGAGGAGGGTTATGCCAGGGCTCAGCCCTCCGCGGGATCCAGCACAGTGGCGGTGGGGGCACAACAGGGTGTCTTGTCTACTGAAAGAGCACACTCCAGCCTTGGTTCCAGCCCTGCCTTCTCTGAGTCCGCTCTGCTCTGCATGTGGCGAGCTGAACAGGGTGGACTCTGGGCTCCCAGCATCTGGCCCACCAGGGACTGTCATAAATACTTTCCCTTCCCCGCCTGGAAAGAGGAGGCCCAGCGGGCCAGATCCGCTCCCGACCTGCACCTTATCTTTTAGAGGGTGGGGGGAATATCTCGACATTTTACAGTCCAGCGAAAACCCTGCCACAGAGCTATTCTTCCGGGCCTTCGTGTCTTGGAATGCGACTGTCCCGAGGGTGCCGCCACCACTGCTTGCCAGGAGAGCCCACCAGTCTCTCAACCCTGGCTGGACTTGGTTTCCCCTTTTAGAGGTGCTGCGTCCTCTCCTTCTCTCACTTGATTTTTTTCTTTTTTCTTTTACAGGTATCTGGTTTATTTCGCTCCCCCAGGCTGGAAGTAAAGGAACCGCAAGCAGCCATCCTCGGGGGGCCAACTCTGACCCTCTTCCAGAGTCATGGACCGCCCTCCTAGGTACCACGGATTTATGTTCGTTTGTCCGGGTCATTCTGCCTTTTTGTGTTAATTACGCGCTGCCTGCTTGCTTCGCGCTTATCTCCTCCGCAAAGCGATTATTTTCGATGCCCGCCCTCCTGCGCCTCCAGAGCTGTCTGTCAGAGCGAGCGAAGGCCCTTTTCCAGCCGCCACTCGCGATTTATTTACACCTCGCAGGTGAGAGGAGTGATTTGCTCAGAGTCAGTGGCGCAGGGCCGGGCCGGGCCGGGGCGCTGGTTCTTCTGACGCCTCTCCGGGCCGGGCCTCAAATGTCAGTGGGGCCGGGCCGGCCGGGGGCACCGGGGCCTCTAACATTGAGCAACAGCGCCACCTCGCGTCCACTTGCTCCAATGCAATCCGTCCGCAAAAAAAAAAAAAAAAAAAAGCCAACGGAGAGCAGGTCCGAGGCTTGGCCCAAAGGTGGGAAGTGGGAGGAAGGAGCCTCCAAATGGGTGCGGAGAGAGGGATTCCCCAGAAGGAGTTTCCCCGGGACCTCCGTTCTTTAGTTTTCTGCGTTTTCGAAATAAACCTTGTCAAAGGTTTCACTCTTTTCTTTTTGTTACCCTGCCTTCCCGCGTTGAGACACTGCGCAAAGGACTTGCCGCGATTTTCCCCCCACCCCCACCCCCATTCCGGCGCGTTTCTGGGCTCCGAACACCTCCGCTCAAGCAAATGCACGCCCCGGAGCGTCCACGACCGCCGGCCCACGGCGCGCGCCCTAAGCGCCTCGCTCCTCTTACCCTGACGCTGGCCCTGCACCGCCTATTTCGCCTCCGCCTGCTGGACTTTGGGGTGGGACTCTGACTTCTACCGGCTGTTTGCCCCCTGGTTTGCAGCCCATCCCTCTCTCGCGCGCGCTCTTCCACCTCTCCCTCCCAGCCGGTGAGGTCCTGTTCTTCGTGGGCCATAGACAAAACATTCCTATAATCCGATTTCAAAGGAAAGAGTGTCCACCTTATTTAAACCATAAAGCTATTAAGCCCAGACGTCTAGCCAGCTCCGTGCTGCTGTTTTGTTCGGCCCCATTCAGAATCCAGCACAGGGAGACAAACAGCACCATAAAAGTGGCATTTCGGAGCTGCGGAAGTGTACCTATCCGCTGCCTTCCCAAGTGGAACAACCTTTAGCGTTTTGTGATTCTGACAAAGGAGCAGAGGAGAAGTGGGAGGGGAAGTTTAGGGGAGGAGGGTGTTTGCTAGCCCCTCTAGCTCCCAGCTTTCATTTCTTTCCCCAGATGTGTATTGTCGTGGTGGTGGTGATGGTGTTTTAATTCATAAATGATAATGAATAAAAATTGAATCCAATCACGACCTGCAGGTTGAGGGCTGGATTAGGACTGAACACTGGGCTGGCCGGGCTGCTCTGGATCCCATACCCTCGCCAGGGCCCTCCGAGCCCTGCGTCCCTCCTTCCTGCCCACAGAAAGGCCAGCTCGGGCGGGCTGCAGGAAGCAGGCCGCGCTGAAGGACGGGAGGCGACAGGGCCCTGGAGCAGGGGCGGGGTGGAAGCCCGGAAACGTGGCAGAGCTCGGGCGGGATAGAAGCCCCGCGTCCCGCTGACCCAGATGCAGGGAGAGGGGTGCCTTTGCCTCCGCCGGGTGCAGAACTAAAGCCAGGGTCCCCAAACAAGAAAATGGCCAAGAGAAGGAGTGAGGACGTGAGAAAAGAGAGAAGGCTACAGGCAACACACTTTTCGAAAGGTCCAAGAAAACAATCGCTTCTGCAATTGGGGAGGATTCCTATGCCGGAAAGGCAAGTGGGTGCTTCTCATCTGCGAAGTCTGTTCTTTGCGAATTCTGATTGCCCCCTTAAAATATTATCAGAACAAAATTTTTGCCCATTCCCACCTTCCTCTGGCCCCAACATTGGAGTGTATAATGGAAGGAGGAGGTAGGAGGTTCAAAGGACAGGGAAGGGGCTGGTCCCCACAAGTGCCTCACCCATCCTGTAAGCTGTTTCTATGGGGGAAGCCGCAATTATTTTCTTTTACGGTGGTATTCCCCAAGTATTCAGAGTGACACCCTGCACCCTTGCCAGAATGGGCAGCCTCAGATATTAAAGGGTTATATTTCAAGCAGTTTGAGTTTAATAGTTTCCAGATTGGGGGATTTTCGAGAAAGGGGGCGCCCGGCCGAGGCATACCCTGCAGTTTATGTCTGCTTCTTATCAGTAGATTGTTCAAAGGATGGCTCTGGGGAAGGTGCTGTGGGGTGCAGTGTAGCCGATCAACCCCACTGGACAGCTACACACATCTCCCCACACCTCACGCCTGGGGTCCTACAGCCGGCAGGGAGAACCCCAACCCTGGCTAATCCCTGACCACACTTCCTTGGGTCCTGGCCTCACCATTCCCCTAGAAATGCTGCGGTTGGCTCAACAAGACCCTGGTCACCCC